CTGTGTCTGAGGAGCCAGACAACATATCCATTGTTTTTCCATGTGCGAAAGTTTAAAACAGTTATAAAGCGTCCGCTGGACGGAACTGCACAAAACACATGATCGCACCTGCTACTCTGATGCGCTTCGCTATTTATTTACTTTATTTTTTACAGTCTGGAGGTGGATGAATTGAATAGTTTTGTAGAGGCTATTTCTCTTTCCCTCCAAGTTGCTGCTTACAAATTATCGTGATTAAGAAAATCAGCCCAATGCGATAAGCAGTAGTTCTCGGTGGACATTTTAGAGTGTCCTGATTGTAGGTTGTTAGCTTGGATGCTGCTGACTAGCATACTTCGGCATGTGCGGTAGGTGAAGCTGCATGAGCTTTTTGGATTGTGATACTGGACAGCTGGTGCTGTCATAAACTGGACCGTCTAGCGGCTGATGATCAGTTGCAATTCCCTGGGCAAACTAACTGAATATGAGACTAAGTGAATGAAAAAGAGCCGGCTGGATTGTGTGAAGTTACAAGACATCTTTTCCACTGCAGATGAGTGTTATGGCTGTTTCTCACCATCGTATTATTTCAGCCGATTGGCAAGAGGAGTTTGGTCAGAGTGGCTCTGATATACTGCAATCACCACGTGATGACGCATCTTCAACGGTCGAGTCGCCGCGTGATGCCGCATCGTTTACTGATGGCAACATCCAGCCGTCCACTTCCATTCCAGTGTCAGCTGAGATGTAAGTGCTGGCGACCTTCACTTTTGCTAGTGCGACATCCGTGAAGAGCGATCACCAGAGTAGAATAGGAAATTTAATTTCCTGAAGCAGTGCGCGAAAAAGGCGGCTTGTTTGCCGACATTGCAAAGAATGTATTCATAAATTTGTTTCTTTCCAGGGCGCACGCCGATGCACCGGATTCGCTTGGCGCAGATCTCACAGGTACGAAATTTTCTATTTTTTTTCATCAGTTTATTCACTGATTGATTTGCGCCGTAGCTATAACATTACAGTAGTTTGCTTCCTAGTTTATTTTAGACATTACAGTATTTAACTAACATATTTTCGCAGCACTAACAGAAGAACCACCAGAAATTATCATCTACACATTTCCTTTATCATTTCTAATTTCTCCTTTTTTTAACAATTTTATCACTCCCCTTCAGTTTTTTCTCTAAACGTGTGCAGTGTGCGAAAAAAAAATTTGACGAGTTTTTTTTGATTTGAATTTTTTCAGAATTTTTCCTTAACCTTTGCGTTTTCTTTCACATTTCTGAGGATTTTTGCAAACACCAACGAACGGTATACTGCAGGTGCGCTTGTTGATCCAGCCGAATTTGCTTCCGCGGGTAATCTTTCTGCGTGCTAAATTTTTAGCTACCGCACTGGTTTTGGTGTTAGTTGTTGTGGTGGTACCATTTTGGTGCAACTCTTCAATAATCCCAGTCGTTTTGTTGCACAGCACTCCACGTACTGTCATGTTTTCCACCTCTCGTACACCTTTATTAGCCGCCATTCCGATGTTGTCTCTCGAAAAAAGGGTATGTTGCGATCAGCACGTGAGCTTAAGACCGATGCTTACGAATGCGCAGCAAGCTGGGAATCGGAAGAGATGAGAGCGATTGTTGCTGAAGCGGGCTAAAATTCGCATGCTTAAGTTGGTGCATGCAACGATATTTTGTGTTATTTCTTTTGAAGGTTTTTTTTCACCACGTTTTCTTGCTGCCTCACCGTACGATTTGGGGGTCTTCGATTTAGCTTCTTCGGAAATTGTACATTCCACTTGTTATAAGCAGTGGCTTGGTAGTAGTGCCCGATGCACCTCGTTTCTTTGTTTGCCTGTAGCGGCAGTGTGTTGCTTGCTTTATTGTTTGTTTTCTTCAAATGCTTCTAGAGGAGTTTTTCACGGATTTTGGAATGGAAAAATTACTAGTGGATGCTAATAGAAGTCGCACCGACGGCACTCTGTCATCGTCTTCGTCGATCTCACTCAGTGCCCCCGCACTTTGCTCAGGTTTTTGGTTTTATTCTTCATTTCATCAATCATACGCACGAAAAAATGGGATGAGTTGGCAGAGTTGAAAGATTCATCATTTTTCTTCCTCATTTTTATCGTTTTCTTTTTTTTTGACGTAGCTTATTATCTGCATGCATGGCCGTGCTTTGTCTTTGGTCTGCTGTTTTGTCTCGAGAAATCACTTTTTTATCAACCGAATTAATTAGCTGAAATCACATTTTCAGTGAACGACACGTTTATAGGTATGTTGGCCTGTGCAGTGCTCATTGTGTTGTGCCCTTCTAAATACTGTGAAAGTGAATCTGTTTAGGAATCTTGTTTGAGGAGTTTTTTGAAAATCCCTCCGAAGGTTTTAATAATTCTTGTTCCTCATAACTAAAGAAATAATAGGCCAACTCGCGGGCTGCCCATGTGAAGATGCGTTTTTTGCATTATTTCGAGCAGATATTTGTCACTAACGGCACTGTTTTTTCCAACAAATGCTTCTAGCTGAAAGAATTTCAGACTGGCTGCCAGGACTGTCAGGAAATATCCCTTCAAAATTCCAGTCTTTTAGCTTTTCAGGATCTCGAGCTATTAACTTACTCGAAAAAAACTTTTACGAGCCCATGGGTACCACGCGAGTAAGACCGCCCATTTTCGGGCGGGGAGCTCGTACATGAATATAGATTAAGTCCCTAAAGTTTCAGTTCTGTAGCTTTTGTAGGTCTCGAAATGAAAAATCGGTGCAAAGGCCTAGCGCACACACAGACATACACACATACACGCAGAAACTTCTCATCAGTATGCGTTTTCCGCATTGCATAGCTGCAAGAAACACATAAAAATTAACTCCTCCATAACTAATTTTGTTTTGTGGGAGAGGCATAAGCTTTTGAAGAGTTGTAGCAACAGGATGTGCCAACAGTAAACCACCCGCTGGTTTTCGATGGCTCTTTTTTGGAGTGTTACTTGGATGCAACAAGCTGGTGGTAGTTCCTAACATATGCCAGCACCTGTTTACTATCGAAAAAATGCGGAAATTCTAAACTTGTTGATTCCTTTGACGGATTCAGGGAGGGGCGAAGGAGAAATGGGTGTTTCACCCTCTGCGGCATTGATAGGAGTTGTTTTACTGTAGGAATTTCTCTTCGGCACCACCTACCGACCTTCGGCACCTCCAGAGGCCCCACTTTCATTTCCCTTCTTTCCCCCTAGCTATCACTGCAGTTTAGGACCGGTCGGTGAGAGGGAAAGGGGTAGTGAGGCTTCCGATGTAGTGACAAACAGGAGAGGGGTGGGGGGGGTGGTAGTAGAGTTTTCAACGTACCGACGATCGGGAGAGGAGAGAAGGGAGGAAAAATTGGCAAAATTGCTCCCCCTCCCCCAGGATGTCGCCCTGGGCCCGCCTACGGTTGGCTAATTTTCGGCTCTGAGTATGAAAGCGAGGCTGCTCACTGCTGCACGGTGCCTGCTAGTTCACCATGATTTCTCAGTAAGTTTCGCAGTTTGACTGCCAAATAGAAAATGCATATTTTTATGCGTTTTTTGCAGCAATGCAATGCAAAAAACGCATATTGACGAGAGGTTGTCTGTGTGCCTGTGTGTGCGTCTGTCACGCATTTTCATCTCCGGACCTATAAAGCTGCGGGGTTGAAATTTCGGGAACTTAATCTACGTGCATATGCCGCCCCCAATCCCCAAAATGGGCGCCAAAACCCGCGCAGTACCCGCGTACGGGCCCCCC